AGAGAAAAAGCACATTATAGAACAAGATGTGTATTGTTACATTATTCATATGAATATCTGAAATTACATATATTGTTAAAACTTTGAAAGTAAACCTTAAAAAAAGAAAGAAGAAAAAAAGGACAGAAAAAGGAAGGGTGTTAGAAGGATTGTCCCCAAAGGGTTTTCCCAAAAGAAAGAGATTAGTAGTATTTTCTATTTTCTCCATTTTGCTTGTCTGTGTTTTCTAATTTTTCCCAACACATATGTATTACTTTTCAAATAAGAAAATAAGGTAATAAAAGTTTTTTAAATTAATAATCCTTCTTTGAAAAACCTTGGAAAATAACAAAGGAAGCAATATTCCCATGGATCCCATAATTAAAAGATAATCACAGGCCACGCGCGGTGGCTCACGCCTGTAATCCTAGCACTCTGGAAGCTGAGGCGGGTGGATTGCTCGAGGTCAGGAGTTCGAAACCAGACTGAGCAAGAGTGAGACCCCCGTCTCTACTATAAATAGAAAGAAATTAATTGCCAACTAATACATTTAGAAAAAAATTAGCCGGCATGGTGGCGATGCCTGTAGTCCAAGCTACTCGGGAGGCTGAGACAGAAGGATTGCTTAAGCCCAGGAGTTTGAGGTTGCTGTGAGCTAGGCTGACCAATCGCACTCACTCTAGCCTGGGCAACAAAGGGAGACTCTGTCTCAAAAATAAATAAATAAATAAATAAAAGATAATCACAGGGCCACACTCAGTGGCTCATACCTATAATTCATCTCTTAATGATATTTTAAGGGCATTTCTCATATCAAAACATAAAGATATATCATATGTTTTAATGGAAATTCAGTATTCTGTACAGTATCAACTATACAGTTGAAAAGACCATAATTAACTTTCCTTGAAAGAAACATTTTGTTTAATTTTTATTGATTTTAATTATACCAACAATATATGAATTTACACTTTTTATAAAAATAAAATATTAGCTGGGAAAGGTGGCTCATGCCTGTAATCCTAGCACTCTGAGAGGCCAAGGCAGGAAGACTGCTTGAGCTCAGGAATTTAAGACTAGCCTGAGCAAGAGCAAGACCCTGTCTCTACTAAAAATAGAAAAATTAGCTGGGCTTGGTGGCAGGTGCCTGTAATCCCAGCTACTTGCGAGGCTGAGGCAGAAGGATTGCTTGAGCCCAGGAGTTTGAGATCGCAGTAAGCTAGGCTGATGCCATGGCACTCTAGCCTGGGTGACAGAGTGAGACTCTGTTTCAAAAACAAGAAACAAACAAAAAGTTTAAATAAATAAATAAAATATTATAGATGAAACTAAAGGTCCCCTTGAAACCTCCTTCCTAGTTAGTGATTTTATAATCATAAAAAATACTTAAAAAATAGGTCATTTAGGCCGGGCGTGGTGGCTCATGCCTGTAATCCTAGCACTCTGGGAGACTGAGGCGGGCGGATTGCTCGAGGTCCGGAGTTCGAAACCAGACTGAGCAAGAGCGAGACCCCGTCTCTACTAAACATAGAAAGAAATTAATTGGCCAACTAATATATATAGAAAAAATTAGCCTGGCATGGTGGCACATGCCTGTAGTCCCAGCTACTCGGGAGGCTGAGGCAGTAGGATTGCTTGAGCCCAGGAGTTTGAGGTTGCTGTGAGCTAGGCTGACACTCTAGCCTGGGCAACAAAGTGAGATCCTGTCTCAAAAAAAAAAAAAAAAATAAAATAAGGCATTTAGCAAAAAGCACATATACTTACCATAATTTCTTCACCATTTTTGAATGTGACAGTTTATAGTGTATGCAATGTTTGACTTTGTTTTTATGTCCTATAAGGCATAATATTATGCCAGAATATTTTTGGAAATAGAATCCTTAACAAAGCTCTATTTTTGTTTCTGAAATATGTCACTGATGTCTTAGACTGGCATGTGGACAATTGCTTATACTTTTCCCCAGTAACCAAAGTCTTGGTTCTTGATAGGAGTCAAAGTAACAAGAAAATATTGATGTAAAAAAATAAAATGTTTACATGATTTTGGAATTTTTCAAAAATTTCAATGTTCAAAAATTTTTTTACTATTGTTTAAACATTTAAAATTCATTTTTGGGTTCATTTTTGGTAGATCAGTATAGGTAATAAATTTCATTAGATCATTAGTGAAAAATGTTCTTCATGCCAGTGGAGATCTGCAGTTACCAGGCTTCCAGCACTCTGTGTCTGTTTTCTTTTTTCTTTTTTTATTTTAGTGTATTAGGGGGGTACAAGTGTTAAGGTTACGTATATTGCCCATGCCCTCCTCCCCCCTCTGTGTCTGTTTTCTGTGCCTTAGCATTTTCCCGGTGCAGCAAAAGCTTTGTAGGGATAAATAGAAACAAATACACAAATAATTTGATTCAAATTATGTTCACCAGAAATATGTAAATAGTGAGCTCAGAGTTTTGGGAACTTGAACTTTCTGTTTTATTATTTTAGTTCTTAACTTTATCATGACTATTTACCTATGGCTTAGTGATTAAATATTAGGTTATTAAGTATGAAGTGTCCAATTCCTTAAGTACTAAATTTGACAGTTGATATCTCTGACATTTCATTTTGACACTTCCCATTTTATTTTTATTGTGAAGGTATATCCTCATTCTTTCAAATGCACAGTTTGGTTTGTGATTATCTTTCAAGAAAATTTTTAGAGCAATTTTTGTGAAACCAGGAATAAGTCATATTTTCAATTATGAGTTCCTTTGTGAAACCGATGCAGCACAGACAGTTCAAAATACTTACAAAGTGTTGGGGAAGGATATCGCTAATGAACACACAGTACGTTAATTCTGGAAATTTTAATCTTGATGAGCCATGTGGTGCAACCTGAGACCAAGGCGGATAATGATGAGTTAAAAGCTGTAGTAGAAGCAAATCAGTTTCAACCTACATGTGAATTAGTAGTAAGGTTTGACGTTACTATTCCAACAATATTGGACCATTTGAAACAAATTAAAGAAAAGTAAAGAAGCTAGCTGGATGGGTACCATATGAACTAAATGAGTGTCAGAAGAGATATTGTCTCAAAGCTTGCCTTTCTTTGCTGTCATTACATAAAAGCGAACCATTTCTACACTGTATTGTGACGTGTGATAAAAAAATCGATTATTTTTGTCAATCACTAGCATTCAGCACAAGGGTTGGATAAGGATAAAGTGCTGAAACAGAGTCTAAAACTGAATATTCATCAAAAAAAGCTAATGATTTCTGTTTGGTGGTCCAGAGCTGGTATTGTCCACTACAGCTTCATGGAACCTGGTCAATCTATTGCAGCAGGTATCTGACAAGGGATTAATAATATATTATTAATTGGATGAAAAGATGAGGATGCTTGCAACCAGTTGGATGAAAAGATGAGGATGCTTGCAATTAAGCAGCCAAGATTGGTCAATAGAGACAGGTCAATCCTCTTGCAAGACAAGGCTTGACCACATGTCGCACAAACAACACTGCGAAAACTACAGCAGCTGGACTTGGAGACTCTCTGTCATCCACCGTATTTACCAGACCTTGCACCAACTGAATACCACTTCTTCCAGGCTTTAGACCACTTCTTACAAGGAAAAAAATTAATATAAAAATTATTAATATAATAATATTAATATAAAATATATTAATATTCAATTCTCAACAAGCTGTGGAAAAGGCCTTTCATGATTTCATCACCACTGTCTCTTCAGGCTTCTTTGCTGCTGGCGTAAGCAAGCTACCATTAAGATGCAAAACTGTCAATAGTTTAGGCACATACTTTGATTCATTGTACTGCTTCTTATTTGAGATACAATAAACTAAATTTTTTATTTGAAATTGGACATTTCATATTTAATGACCTAATATTCCCTTCTGGTGTGTGTGTGTATGAATATATATACACACACATATATATATATAGTGAAATTTATGTTATTTTGAAATTCCTATCTTGGAACATTTTTATATGTTAATTAGGTATCCAAGAAAATTAGTGTCATTGTGCAGAATAATAGCTTTTTTCTTCCTGCTGCAAACATTCACTTACTTAAGGTTAGACCTCTACGTACTTTAGACTTTGCAGAAATTGATGCCAATCACTTGGTACCAATGAGGATATTTTAACAATATGACATGATCTCTAAAAGAAATTCAATATGAGTTAAAATATTTAAACAATAGTGTCTTCTTTGGGATAGATATATAATTCCTTAAGTGACTATTTTGGTTAGCATAGCTTTTTAAAAAATTTTTAATTATTATGTGTACATAATAGTTGTGTATTTTTATAGGGTACGTGGGATGTTTTGGTACAGTCATACAATGTGAATTAATTAAATCAGGGTGTATCCATTACCTCAGGCATTTATCATTTCTTTGTGTTAGGACAGTCCAATTCTACTCTTAGTTATTTTAAAGTATACTCTAACTGGATTATAGTCGCTTTGCTGTGCTATCAAATATTGTTCATTCTATCTAACTATATTTTTGTACCCATTAACCATCCCCACTTTATCCCCCTCTTCCTGTTATTTTTCCCAGCCTCTGGAAACCATCATTCTACTTTCTTTCTCCATGAGATTAATTGTCTTCAATATTTAGCTCCCACATATGAGTGACTTGTCTTTTTGGTAAAATGACATTTTAACTGAGATAAGATGATATCTCACTGTAGTTTTGATTTGCATTTCTCTGATGACCAATGATGGTGAGAATTTTTTCATATACTCATTGGCCATTTATGTGTCTCTTCTTCTGAGAAACATATACTCAGATCTTTTGCCCATTTCAATCAGATTATTTGATTTTTTTTCCCTATTGAGTTGTTGGAGTTCCTGATACATTCTAGCTATTAATCCCTTGTCAGATGGATAATTTGCAAATATTTTCTCCCATTCTATGGGCTGTCTCTTCCCTTCCTTGGTTGTTTCCTTTGCTGTGCAGAAAGAAGCTTTTTAGCTTGTTGTGATCCCATTTGTCTAATTTTGCTTTGGTTGCCTGTGCTTTGGGGGTATTAATCAAGAAATCACTACCCAGACCAGTGTCCTGAAGAGTTTCCCCAATGTTTTCTTGTAGTTGTTTCATAGTTCAGGTCTTAGATTTACATCTTTAATCCATTTTGATTTGATTTTTGTATATGATAAGTGACAAGGGTCTAGTTTCATTCTTCTGCATATGGATATCCAGTTTTCCCAGCACCATTTATTGAAGAGACTGTCCTTTCCCACTGTATGTTCTTGGCACCTTTGTCGAAGATAAATTCACTATAGACGTATGAATTTATTTCTGGCTTCTGTATTCTGTTCCATTGGTCTATGTGTCTGTTTTTATGGGAGTACACTGCTGTTTTGGTTACTACAGCTCGGTAGTACAATTTGAGGTTAGGCAATGTGGTTCCTCCAGTTTGTTCTTTTTGCTCTGGATGGCTTTGGCTAGTCTGAGTGTTTTGTGGTTCCATATAAATTTTAGGATAACTTTTTCTATTTCTGGAAGAATGTCATTGGTATTTTGATGGAAATTACATTGGATCTGTAGATTGCTTTGTGTAGTATGGGGACACTTTAACAATATTGATTTTTCCAATCCAGGAGGATGGAATATCTTTCCCTTTTTTGTGTGTCCTCTTCAATTTCTTTTGTCAGTGTTTCATAATTTTCATTGCAGAGATCTTTCACTTCTTTGGTTAAGTTTATTTCCAGGTATCTTATTTTATTTGTAGCTATTGTAAATGGGATTACTTTCTTGTTGACATTGGCATATAAAAATGCTACTAATTTTTGTATGTTGATTTTGTATCCTGCAACTTTACTGAATTTATTTTATCAGTTTTAATAGTTTTTTTGTAGCACAGCTTTTAAAATATATAAATCTTTGTGTTTCGTCTTATGTTTCAAACTTCTGTTTCTATTTGATTATATATATGTATATATACATACATATATATGAAATTTATTTTAAGAAGAGAAATAAAAATAAAAGTATTTTTCTATTTGTATTTGCTCATTATGATAGCCAAGAAACTGCAGTATATACCAGTTGCAGCAGCTCTCCTATGACTTCTGCCTTATCTAAAAAGTTGCTTCTACTATTTACTTCATTCTTTTCTTTTTTCTTTTCTTTTTTTTTTTGAGACAGTCTCACTCTGTTGCCCGGGCTAGAGTGCCGTGCCATCAGCCTAGCTCACAGCAACCTCAAACTCCTGGGCTCAAGTGATCCTCCTGCCTCAGCCCCATGAGCAGCTGGGACTATAGGCATGCACCACCATGCCTGGCTAAGTTTTTCTATATATTTTTAGTTGGTCAATTCATTTCTTTCTATTTCTTAGTAGAGACAGGGTCTGTCTCTTGCTCAGGCTGGTTTCAAACTCCTGACCTCCAGCAATCCTCCTGCCTCGGCCTCCCAGATTGTTACAGATGTGAGCCACCACACCCGGCCTATTCACTTCTTTCTTGACAAAAGTATTAGAAATATATTAAATATTTTAATCTAAACCTTGATTTTTGAAGTTTTGTTCAGGTATTACTGCTCAAGTCTACTGATATACAGAAGTTTAAAAAAAACACCTTAGAAAATGCATTGTGCTCACATAGCTTACTTTCTACATGAAGGGCTCTGCCATCACAAGGTTTTGGACAGGAAATAGCATAATGTTTTTTATGTTTGAAAAAGATTTCTGTAGTTTGTGGGTTAAGAGTACACTCTTAGGGGACAAAGAAGCCTGAGAACTGATTAGGAGGCTATTAAAATAATTTTAATGTAAATATTATGACATCATTTGAAAAAATAGGTTAATCCTTAAGTTATTTTGTATTTACATTTTTGTGATTTATTTCTATTTTTACATGGTTTTATAGAGTTTGTTAACCAAAATCATTATCATTGAGGTAGTATTTATGTTTAACTAATTTTTATAATTAAATTCTTGGCTATTTAGTTGTGCCACCAATGTGTTACTTATAACTATATGCATTTAACAACATTTATTGTGTTTTAGTTGATCCTGAAAACTTGTTTGTTGGTCGCCACTTCATAATTATGATTTCCACGGTTACCTTTACTCTGCCTTTGTCCTTGTACCGAGATATAGCAAAACTTGGAAAGGTAATTTTTACATTTTAAATAGGCATAGAAATACACCTTGTAACCTGCATTATTATATTTGGCAAAGCTCTTAATTATAGTACTCATCTTTGGTTTCTTTTAGTTTACTTATGATTATGCTAGAGTAAACTGTGTTTGAATCATTAGCTTGTTTTTAGGAACTGATGGTTAAATATTTGATGAGTGTGAACTAAATATGTGTTTTTCTTTTTCTTTTCTAAAGTAGATACTCTAACTGATGTCAGCACACTTTAAAGAAATGTTTTTATTTCAAAATGTTATGGGGATACATACATTTTGGTTACATAATTTGCTTTTGTACAGTTTGAGTTGAAATTATAAGTGTGCCCTTCAGCCAATTAGTGAAGACAGCACACTTGAAATTTAGAAAATATGAAGAACTATACTTACAGCAAGTCTTATGTATTGGAAAAGTGTTCAATTTTTTTTGTAGGTAGTTTAAACAATTTAAAATTAAACTAATAAGTAAGGATGTATCTCTTCAATGGCTTAAAATATTTTTATTTGTAAATTACGATGTCTATTTGCCTGTTTTTCATTCACTGAACTTAAATGTCAATATGTTGCTTGATCAACTTTTGAGCATGTGGCCAAAATATATGATTCTTATTACTAAAGAGAAATACTGAACTATTTCTAAAGAAAGCAACCAAGTAATTATTCAACTCACTACATAAGCTCGTTTGCACTCTCTCAAGGAATGTTTGTATTTTTCCCAAAATATTTTGGTGCTATGTCCACATGACACCAAGCATCCTGACAAAAAAATTTTTTTAAGAAGAGTTATTCAGGCCGGGCATGGTGGCTCACGCCTGTAATCCTAGCACTCTGGGAGGCTGAGGCAGGCGGATTGCTTGAGGTCAGGAGTTCAAAACCAGCCTGAGCAAGAGCAAGACCTTGTCTCTACTATAAATAGAAATAAATTAATTGGCCAACTAATATATATAGAAAAAAATTAGCCGGGCATGGTGGCACATGCCAGTAGTCCCAGCTACTCGGGAGGCTGAGGCAGCAGGATCACTTGAGCCCAGGAGTTTGAGGTTGCTGTGAGCTAGGCTGATGCCACAGCACCCACTCTAGCCTGGACAACAAAGCGAGACTCTGTCTCAAAAAAAAGAACAGTTATTCATATAATATTTTTATATTCTAACTTCAAAACTCCAACAGTTGACTGACTTACTTTTCACTGTGATGTTTGATGTTGTGCATTCAGTTATGAAGTCCTTCCTTCCCGGTAGAGCTAAAGGTGGAGGCGATGTGTCAAAGCATTTTGACCACCACATCCTCTGTCCCTAACAATCACCCAGAAATAAGCAAAACTATATCAAAATATGCTTTTTGTGACTTATCTAAGATGATCAGACTATTTTGCATTTCACATGTTCAATGTAGAGATAAATGTTATCTTCTGAGTGCAGACAGCAAGGCATTCATGAAAAGAAAGGTGCTAATAAATATTCTATCATCTTAGTAACACTTGAACATTTTTTCCTTAGAAGTTCCTTTAGAGTGTCATATTGAAATATCTAAATAAATATCCCAATGAGCAAAGCAGAGTAGTTAGAAGCCCTGATCTGGAGTCAGACTTGGTGCATTTGAATTTCCTTTCTGCCACTTTCTAGCTATGTGACCTTGGACATGTTAATTAATCTGTTTCTCAGATCAGTAGGTTCATACCACAAACATCTTTGTAATTAAAAATGAATAACTTAGAAAACAAGATTAATGAGAATCACATGAAATGAGAGCAATTGTATATTAACTTTTTTCTTATCAGAGAAAAAAAAAATCAAAAATGTGCTTAGTCATCAAAAAATTAAGACTAGAAACAAAGACGTAATATAATGAGTAAACATAGCACATGCACACGCAGACCAGGCTATATTTTAACCCACTGAAATAATGGCAGAACAGAGAGAAAAAAGCAAAACAGACCTAGAGATATAGACCAAAAGGCAAAAGCACATAGGAAAAATAGACTAACAGAGCTAGAGAGCAGACAGCAAAAAGCAGAATCACCTCCCTAAAAAACAATATCTGGAGGAGGGCCATATGTGTGTTGTGTTGGTAGGGAGAAGGTAAGATAAAGACAAATAGAAGAAGCAATTATAGACAGGAAAAAAGAAAGCACACAACACTAACATAGGGCCTGAAGAATAAAGAAAGTATAATTTCACTTTTACTTTCATAATCTAAAGTCACCACCAGTATTGTGTAGTATGCAGGAAGCCACTAAAATGTTTAAAGCCATGTTGCAAGATTTTAACAATAGTCATATATGATACTTGCTCAGCTATATGGGGTGGGGTGGGGAGAGAACCAAGATTATGATCTGAAAAGAAGTCACATGGCTGAGATTATCAACACCAATCTAGTGAATAAACTAGTAAAGAATTGGATAGAAAAACCTATGGATTAAGTTTACCAAAGTAAAAAAAGAGGAAGACCTAATATTTTAAATGAAATAATCAATATCCTAAACTGACAATATCTTTGCATTTTCTTTTGTAGGTCTCCCTTATTTCTACAGTTTTGACAGCTCTGATTCTTGGAATTGTAATAACAAGGATAGTTTCATTGGGTCCAGACGTGTAAGTTTTGTTGTTATATTTATCTTTGATTTATAGCCATCACATACATATTTATATATGACATACTATTAATGCAGGAATATAAAGTGGTATAAACGTCATTTATCTTTAGTATTTGACAAAATAAGTGAAAATGCAGGTAAGTAAACATGCATTTTTCAGTAGGACACTGCAAGGCTGATGAGATTAAACCAGCTTTATTTATTTTAATGGCCAACCAAAGTAGAATAAAAAAGGAATTTTGAATAGTGGGAAAAAGGAACAAGTTTTATCAGTCTACACTGAAATCGGAAGAATAAAGGACATGGTGGGTGTTTTTAATCTAATTAAACTAAATATAGCTGCTTTGAAAACCACCCTTTATTCTCATCTGAGATTATGTTCTTTAATTATTTTGTGTTAAAAAACTCTGCCATTTGTGAACTAATGGTGATAACTGATAATGATATTGATTTGTTTTTATTTATATTTATTTTATTTTATGTTTGTCAGAACGAACTCCTCTTGTTCTCGGTGCTAAGAGATGTGGCTGTCACCGTACTTCAGACCTCAACTCTGGCTCAAGCATCCTTCTGTCTTAGCTCCCGAGTAGCTGGGACTACAGGCATTCGCCACAATCCCGGCTAATTTTTTCTAATATTTTTAGTTGGCCAATTAATTTCTTCTATTTATAGTAGAGACGGGTCTCGCTCTTGCTCAGACTGTTTTGAACTCCTGACCTTGAGCAATCCTCGCCTCAGCCTCCCAGAGTGCTAGGATTACAGGCGTGAGCCACACACCCGGCCTTCATTTGTTTTTAATATTATTTGGCCAAGTAAAATGTTGACAAATTGGTACTGGTTCCCTCAATTTAAAAAATGTTACTCATCCATGAAATTCAAAACTGTGTGTACTGCTAATCTAAACTACACAGTTTATTGCCTTTCCACAATGTACATATAATAAGATAAAGACAAATAGAGAGAAACATTAGAGAGTTTCCATGATACTTTAAATATTTTCTCTATGCTAAACAAGACAAGTAAAATTAATTTAAGACATAATGTCTCAGCACAGTGGAGAGAGTACTGAATCTTCAATGAATGGTATCTGTAGTAAAACGCAAAGGAAACCTGGTGAATGCTCTAACTGATAATGTAGTTCCCAATGTAATTTATGCTTTCTTTTGATTAATTGTTCCTCTGCAAATTTCCTTAATTTTCAACTGTACTTGTTTCGATAGGCTTCTCATTTATCAGGAAAATGCCAAAGAAAAGATGCCTCCAGTATTTTTGAGAGAATACAAAATATCTAGTCTAACTGTACTTGATATAGCCTTTTCTTTGAAAAAAATAATCCCACTGCCACTTTCTTTAGAAAATGATCCTCCTCCCTTAAGCTTCCAAGTATCTGGGAGTACAGGTGCACATCTCCATCCCAGCTAATTTTTTTTCTATTTTTAGTAGAGGGGGGTCTCACTCTTGCTCAGGCTGGTCTGGAACCCTGGCCTCAAAGGATCCTACGCCTAGCCTCCTGAGGTGCTAGGATTAGAGCATGAGCCATTGCACGAGGCAAACCCTATTTTTTTTTAATTAAAGGATTAAATAAGGCCTAGCGTGATGCTCACACCTGTAATCCTATCACTCTGGGAGGCCCAGGCGGGTGGATCACTCGAGGTCAGGAGTTCAAAACCAGCCTGAGCAAGAGCGACGACTACTGTCTCTATAAAAATAGAAAGAAATTAATTGGCCAACTAAAAATATACAGAAAAAATTAGCTGGGCATGGTGGTGCATACCTGTAGTCCCAGCTATTTGGGAGGCTGAGGCAGCAGGATTGCTTGAGCCCAGGAGTTTGAGGTTGCTGTGAGCTAGACTGACACCACGGCACTCACTCTAGCCTGGGCAACAGAGCGAGAGACTCTGTCTCTAAAAAAACAAACAAACAAACAAAAAAAAGGATTTAAATAAGAGAAAGCATAAATATCTGTAATGTTTATATTAAGGTTGTCTTCAAATAACTTAATCCTGACTAATAGTTGTATTGGTCAGCTCAGGCAGCCATAAGAAAAAATCATAAACTGAGTGGCTAAAAAGCAGAAATTTATTTTCTCATAGTTCTGGAGGCTGGAAGTCTGGCACCAGCATGGTTGGGCTTTGGTGAGAGCATCATCCTGGCCTGTAGAGGGTGGTCTTTTTGCTGTGTCCTCACGCTACAGAGAGAGACAGCAAGGTCTCTGCTATCTCTTCTTAGAAGGCTGCTAATCCCATCATGAGGGCCCTACCCTCATGACCTCATCTAACTCTTAGGGGTCCTCAAACTTTTTAAACAGGGGGCCAGTTCACTGTCCCTCAGACCGTTGGAGGGCCGGACTGTAGTTTAAAAAAAACTATGAACAAATTCCTATGCACACTGCACATATCTTATTTTGAAGTAAAAAAACAAACAGGCATAAACACCCGCATGTGGCCAGAGAGCCGTAGTTTGAGGACGCCTGCCTAAGGCCTCGTCTCCAAATACCATCACATTAAGAGTTAGAACTACAGGCTGGGTATGGTGGCTCATGCCTGTAATCCTAGCACTCTGGGAGTCCAGGGCGGGAGGAAGGCTTGAGGTCAGGAGTTCAAGACCAGCAAGAGCAAGAGCAAGACCCTGTCTCTACCAAAAAAACAAAAAATTAGCTGGGCGTGATGACACGTTCCTGTAGTGAACACAGCTCCTCAGAAGGCTGAGGCAGGATGATCGCTTGAGCCCAGGAGTTAGAGGAGGCTGTCAGCTAGGTGGACCCCACGGCACTCTAGCCTGGGCAACAGAATGAGACTGTCTCAAAAAAAAACAAAAAAAAAGAGTTAGGGCTTCAACTTATGAATTTGGAGGGGACACAGTTTAATCTATAACATTAGTGGTTTTGAAATACATCTGATTCAATTCAATATGGCCATTTATTCTTTCATTTAATAAACACTTAATTGAGTGCTTATTGTTTCCAGCTATTCTGCTGTGCTCTCAGAGAAAAAGAGCAGAGAAAGGCATAAAGTAGCACCTGCTATGAGTTGCTCACATTCAAGTGTGGAGAAGGGTCTTAGTTTAAAACAAAAAAAAGAAGAAGAAAAGAAACGACAGTATAATGTGACAAGTGCGACATAGAAGCATGAAAGGGGCAGAGGCAGTACCAAAGAAGAGTGTGATTAATGGACTGTCCTGATCCATGAGGGCTTCCTGGAGGAAGAAAAATATGATCTGGGAATTTTAAAGGATGGATTGGAATTTTTGCAGATAAGAAGGTAAAAGACATTACAAGCCTGAGGAAAGGTACATATAAAAGCAAGAAAGCTGGGCTTGTGGCTCACGCCTATAATCCTAGCACTCTGGGAAGGCGAGGCTGGCGGATTGCTCAAGGTCAGGAGTTCAAAACCAGCCTGAGCAAGAGCGATACCCCATCTCTACTAAAAATAGGAATAAATTAATTGGCCAACTAAAAATATATAGAAAAAATTAGCCAGGGATGGTGGCACATGCCTGTAGTCCCAGCTGCTTGGGAGGCTGAGGCAGGAGGATTACTTGAGCCCAGGAGTCTGAGGTTGCTGTGAGCTAGGCTGATGCCACGGCACTCACTCTAGCCTGGGCAACAGAGTGAGACTCTGTCTCAAAAAAAAAAAAAAGCACAAAAGTGTATATTCAATTCAACTGATATTTATTTAGTGTCTATTATGTTAGTACTGTATTCAGCTCTGGTTTTCAAAAGCCAAATTCACAGCAAGAAAAAGCTACTGGGTATATTGAACAAAAAACAATAAATAACAATTTTGACTAAAATTTTTAATTGTGTAAGACTGAACTATTTTAATTGAAACTTTTTATTATAAAAATGATTTTAGGCTGGGCCCGGTGGCTCACGTCTGTAATCCTAGCACTCTCAGAGGCCGAGGCGGGTGGATTGCTCAAAGGTCAGGAGTTCGAAACCAACCTGAGCAAGAATGAGACCCCGTCTCTACTAAAAATAGAAAGAAATTAATTGGCCAACTAAAAATATACAGAAAAAATTAGCCAGGTATGGTGGTGCGTGCCTGTAGTCCCAGCTACTTGAGAGGCTGAGGCAGGAGGATTGAGCCCAGGAGTTTGAGGTTGCTGTGACTTAGGCTAACGCCATGGCACTCTAGCCCAGGCAACAGAGTGAGACTCTGTCTCAAAAAAGAAAAAAAAAGAAAGTGGCAATAATAACAAAAATGATTCTGGGCAACAGATCATTAGGTTATAGTAAAAGGTCTTTTAGATATGGTAAATATATCATTAGGAGGCAATATTGAGGAAAAAAAGTAGCTGAAGTAGGAGATAAATAAATGAATCCTTAGTTGCGCCATGAGAGAATAGTGTAAAGCAGTGATTTTAAACACTGGTTTCACATTAAAACTGTCAGCTTTAAAAAATATTGATGCCAGGTCCCCACCTGCAGAGATTCTGACCAAATTGGTCTAGGGCCAGGCAATTGGATTCTTTATTTAACAGTGGGTGAGTCTATGAAGAAGGACCTAGAGTCTCTTGGTTCAAAGAGATTAACATCAAGAGTACTCATTTTTAATTCATTTTAGACACTTTGTTTCTAAAATTAAACCAGAGATTTTGTGTTATTTTAGTTACCGCTATGTGATCATTTTTCATGATTCATCCTCCACTTATTTTTTTTCAGTATTTTTGATATACAAAATGTCATATGAGATACTATCATGACTACAAAGAGAAATAAAATGTCTCTGATCTCAAGGGACTCGCAGCTTCGTGAAGAAGATAAAGCTGTACAGATGACTATCACATAAGCAGTGTGCCCTGAAACAGAGGAAAGAGGAAGGGGAGTCCACTTTCCACTTCCTGGTGGGACTCAATGAACTGGTTTTATGGCCGAAGAGCTATGTATTTCTGTTGTAAACAAAATGTGGCCTGTGTCTGTCTCTGACCTTCTTTTAGTAGGGATACAATGTTTTAGCTGAGCCTTTAAAATTTTTCTAATAACAGGGATTATTTACA